TAGATGTACAATCTAGAAATAAACACCAAACATACTTATCGCTATCTTATAATGTATGACAGCAACAGTATCAAAAGCACTTTTTTCCTATTTTTAACCAGACTGATTTGAATCAGTATACTCATCAGAAACAGGCAGCTCTACTAACTAGGCTGATCTGTTTCGTTACAGACTTCAAGCACTATACCATAATTCTTTCAACTAAACTGAATTATACGACAACCAAGAATATTAAACTAAGCAAGTGTCATAGTTATTGTTTCATTTGCACAGGCATATTGCTTAAAGTAGTTAAATGGACATAATTAAGACGATAAAACAAAAACATGAAATATAGGCCAATTGAACTTACCGAACAGAAGACAAAGAATATATATATTGCTTTCCGACTGAAAACAACAGGTAGTTGTTCATAAAGACATAGTTTATAGTACAATAAACCTTTCTACAGTAAAATCATGCACTGACAGTCTATCTGGAAACAATCAACTATGTGAATAAACTCACTATGACTTGAGATATCATCCCAGCATGCAATGGACGTGCAGTGTAACGCAGTCGAACGTGGCGAATAAAAATATAAAAAAAGATCAAAATTAGCTATATAATCTAGTTATTTAATTAAAAATACATTATGAAATGTCAAAATCTGTGGTTACTTGAACGCATAGATGACCGGTACATTAAGTTTACATGGTTGCGTTGCGGATAAGATCACCCCTCACTGGAGGTAACAACATTCATTCACAATTTGTGCCAACGTCAGCAACTTCACAAAATTTATCACAGTTATCTACAGAGGGAGTATGCCTAGTATGCAATCACTTTGTCACTAGAGTCTGTCATTTCTTGATTCGACAGTGATATACGATCCTGTTTTATGTAGACGCTTTGTTATATCATCTACATAAATAGTAATATTCAGTAGCAATGCTGTGTGTAGCTGCAAACTCACTGCTTAAAGAACGAATACAAACTTCATTAAAGGTTTGTGATTTACACGTTGAACGTTTACGAAATCATTATTTTCCAGTCTTCATATCCCTATCTAGAAGTCTATAAGTGTAGAAGGCCATAAAATGAATGGACATACTTGGTAAATTTAATACTGATATCCCTTACGATAACTCCGCCTGTAGCTCTTATAGGGTTACTGCCGGTACCAAGACGGGTAAAGGAGGAGGGTTGGGCATCGGGTTAGTGTCCCCATCCCGTAGAAAACTAACTCGCTAAAAAAACGCTAACCAGAAAAAATAATCCAAACCACTTAAACTCTGCCCTGAGAGTTAGAAGGTCTTCATTTAGAAGAATTATGACGCTTCATGGTGAAAGCCGAGTTCCTTCGGAAGCCAAGAGGCCGATGCCCCTTCTAACAACCAGAACAACAATTATTATAGGTACATGGAACGTTCGAACAATGTGGGAAACCGGGAAGACCAGTCAAATAGCAATGGAAATGAGGAGATACAACTTAGCAGTACTGGGAATCAGCGAAACCCACTGGACCCAAGCTGGACAGAAAAGGTTAGGTACTTGAGAGATGCTGCTATACTCCGGTCACGAAGAGGACAACGCCCCACACACTCAGGGAGTGGCTCTTGTGCTGTCTGAAGTAACACGAAATGCACTTGTAGGATGAGAATCTCACGAATCCAGAATCATCAAAGCATCATTCAAAACAAAGAAGGAGAGGATTTTAATGAATATTATCCAATGTTATGCACCCACAAATGATAGCAACGACGACATTAAAGATCAGTTCTACGAGCGGCTGCAGTCAGTCATTGAGAAATGCCCAAGAAAGGACCTCACCATTCTGATGGGAGATCTAAATGCCAAAGTCGGAATAGACAACACCGGATATGAAGATATTATGGGACGACATGGACTGGGAGAAAGAAACGAAAATGGAGGAAGATTTGCAAATCTATGTGCATTCGACAAATTGGTCATAGGAGGCACAATATTTCCACACAAGCGTATACACAAGGCTACGTGGATCTCACCGGACCACACTACAGAGAACCAAATAGATCATATTTGCATCAACAAAAAATTCAGAAGGACAATGGAAGATGTGAGAACCAGGAGAGGTGCTGACGTAGCTTCAGATTACCACCTAGTTGTAGCCAATTTAAAACTGAATCTAAAAAAGAACTGGAAAGATGGACAAACAGCACTACAAAGGTTCAATACAGCCTTCCTTCGAGATACTGACAAACTCAATGAATTCAAGATAGCTCTCAACAACAGGTTCCAAGCCTTACAAGATCTACTGAAAGAAGAAGAAACTAGTATGGAGGACAACTGGAAAGGCATCAAGGAAGCATTAACTTTAACGTGTCAAGAGGTTCTGGGTCTAAAGAAATACCATCATAAGGAATGGATCTCTTCAGAAACACTGGACAAGATCAAAGAAAGGTAGAACAAGAAGGTAGCAATAAACAACAGCCGAACACGAACAGAGAAAGTCCAAGCACAAGCTGAATACATAGAAGCAAACAAACAAGTGAAGAGGAGCATTAGAGCCGACAAGAAGAAATACGTGGAAGAACTAGCATCGACAGCAGAAAAAGCTGCTAGAGAAGGAAATATGAAACAGCTTCACGATACAACGAAGAAACGAGCAGGGAAATACAGTAAACCAGAGAGGCCGGTCAAAGACAAAGAATGCAAGCCAATCACCGAAATTCAACAACAGCGGAACAGATGGGTAGAATACTTCGAGGAACTCCTGAATAGGCCGGCTCCAATGAATCCACCGGACATCGAAGCGGCACACACAGATCTTCCCATAGACGTCGACCCACCAACGAAGGAAGAAATCAGAATGGTCGTCAGACAAATCAAGAGCGGGAAAGCAGCAGGACTCGACAATATACCAGCTGAAGCACTGAAGTCAGGCATCGAAGTAACTACAAACATGCTTCACCTTCTATTCAAAAAGATTTGGGAGGAGGAACAAGTCCCGATGGACTGGAAAGAAGGACACCTCGTCAAGATTCCAAAGAAAGAAGATCTGAGCAAATGTGAAAACTACAGAGGCATTACACTGCTGTCAATACCAGGGAACGTGTTCAACAGAGTGTTGCTGAACCGGATGAAAGACTCAGTAGACGCCCAAATTCGAGATCAACAAGCTGGATTCCGTAAGGATCGATCATGCACAGACCAAATCGCAACACTACGGATCATCGTCGAACAATCAGTCGAGTGGAACTCATCACTATACATCAACTTCATTGATTATGAAAAAGCATTCGACAGTGTAGATAGGAGGACATTATGGAAACTTCTTCGACACTACGGAGTTCCTGAGAAGATTGTCAACATTATCCGGAACTCACACGACGGACTACAGTGCAAAGTCGTGCATGGAGGACAGCTGACAGATGCATTCCAAGTAAGGACCGGAGTCAGACAAGGCTGTTTACTCTGTCCCTTCCCCTTTCTTCTGATGGTCGACTGGATTATGAAGACCTCGACATCTGAAGGAAAACACGAAATACAATGGACAGTTCGAAATCAATTAGACGATTTAAACTTCGCAGATGACCTAGCCTTCCTATCAAGTACACACGAACAGATGCAGACAAAGACAGCCAGTGTAGCAGCAGTCTCTGCATCAGTAGGCCTCAGCATACACAAAGGGAAAACCAAAGTCCTCAAATTCAAAGCGGAAAACAACATTCCAATCACTCTTGATGGCGAAACTCTGGAAAATGTAGAGTCCTTCACATACCTGGGAAGCATCATCGATGAACAAGGAGGTTCGGATGCAGACGTAAAGGCAAGGATTGGCAAAACAAGGACTGCATTCCTACAGTTAAAGAACATATGGAACTCAAAACAACTTTCAACCAATATCAAAGTGAGAATCTTCAATACCAACGTCAAGGCAGTTCTACTGTATGGAGCTGAAACTTGGAGAACTACAACAACCACCATCAAGAAGGTACAAGTATTTATAAATAGCTGTCTACGCAAAATACTCAACATCCATTGGCCGGATACCATCAGCAATAGCCTTTTGTCGGAGAGAACAAACCAACTTCCAGCTGAAGAAGAAATTAGGGAAAGACGATGGAAATGGATAGGACATACATTACGCAAATCGTCAAACTGCATCACGAGGTAAGCCCTAACTTGGAATCCTGAAGGGAAGCGAGAAAGAGGAAGGCCAAAGAACACATTGCGTCGGATAATAGAAGCAGATATGAAAACGATGAATTACAACTGGACGGAGCTAGAAAGGATTGCCCAGGACAGGGTTGAATGGAGAATGCTGGTGAGCGGCCTATGCTCCTTCACGAGGAGTAACAGGCGTAAGTAAGTAAGTATCCCTTACGATACAATGAAAAACTCAATGGTTTCCCACCAGAAGTTGAATGCTGCAACATTTATTTATTAAAAAATACATATGAAAAAATTTATAACTACATTCCAAGCATCAGAAAAAGGAGAGTGACGATGCCACAGATATTCGGAGTTTGACAACGCTTTAACCAGTAACATCTAATATGAAGCGTACCCACCAAGTGAATTAAAAAGAAATAAGCGAGGAGGTTCAAAGATATATTTGATAGGCTATCAATATATCGAGGATCATCTGATCTAATCTGGCTAGCGATTGCAGGGTTTTCTGAGCACGGTGTTCCCACTCATGATCTGGTGTGGATGCATAGCCGAGCACCTTCAGTCTATTTTGGGGATTTATTTACCACTACAGGAGTATTTGACAGTTTAAACCTGCTTAATATTGTTTCTAGATCGGGTGCGAATGCGCCATGAAAATCTAGATAATCTTACAGCTAACCAGTGAGGATTTATCGATACCTATGCTTCAGCATAAGTAGAACTTAGTACAAAATACGAATAGCTCTCTATGTTATCAGTCACCAGCCCATTATCCCCACGATAACATATGATCCTTCCACTAAAATGACGGCACTAACCGCACCCTATCCTTTCATGCTTCTTAACTACGTACTTAACATCAGAATGACCAGGTGTTACAATGATAACCAAACATGGAACTCTGTCACTGCATCTGACGTCATCCCATTGAAGTTGGTGCACTTGTTATCATCCAATATAGTTGCTGTGACCTTATGTATAGATACGTTTTATGTAATTATCCGTAGACCCCTGTACATGAAGTAAAAAATGAAGTATACTAATTGTCATATGATTGAGATGATGCTTTTCAGTTATTATGAACCGGTCTACACAACTCACATCTAACTACATTCCCAGCCTCTTTCTAGTCAAACAAGCTTCTTGAGTGATACCGTACGGTTTTCATATGTAACAGACAGGAATGTAATGTCCTATACGCTATAGAGTATGCCTAATCGCTTTTTCCTATTCTGCATCGTAAGTTTGCTCAAGCTATGTGATGGATCTTTATTGCATCGCTAAAGATTCTTCTAATGAAAACCCATTTGAACTTAGTCCTAATCACTATGTGCATTTTCTATCTCCAACGACCATATTTACACATTTGATGTTTCTAAGTCTCTGTCTGCCCAATGTACAAATGTTTTCTCAATTCTTTGACACAAGCAGTAAATTCGCTACTATGACAAAATCTCACGTCACAGTTGTTGGCTCACTCAACGTTGACCTATCTGTGTAATTCCAAATAACCCTAATGTGTTGTATTCGTAGATTCACGAGTATTATTCCAAAGCTAGGAGAGACAGTAACTGGTTCGAGTTTTCTTCTTGGTTACGGGGGTAAAGGGGCGAATCAGTGTGTGGCTTCCAGAGTACTGGGATGCAACACTGCACTAATAGGAAAAGTTGGAGATGACTACTTTGGTGAAATGTTTGTTCAGCACTTAAAACAACTTGGAGTGAACACTGGTAAGTGAAATCTAAGAGAAATGTTAATGACTTAACAATATTTGCACAAAATTAATTCCTATCTTCTCCACCCCATTAATGTAAACAAACAGCCAATACTTTCGAAACAATAATTTATATCCTGTCAACATTCATTATGCAGGCGTCGTTTATTAATTTGAACTGTTTCGAGAAGTAAATAAGATTTTGTAACAACACGTTTTATTTGGCAACCCATCTTGGTTGCCTTTACTCGCCTTTATCAAGACATTCCTTACTAGTTCTAGTCCTAATCACTCATTTATAAATAGTAATTTAGTTTCTTTGTCCAGTACATTGTCATATTGTATACTAGGATATTACTTAACAATATCCTTATTTGAACCTAGACGGTATATCAAGAACATCAATGAATAGTACTGGAGTTGCATCGATTACAGTTGAAACAAGAACAGGTGGAAATCAAATTATCATCGTCCCAGGTGCAAATATGCTTGTATCAGAAAAAGACATTTCTTTTGCAGAGAAACTAGCCCTCTTGGATACAAAAGTAATCGTTTGTCAGTTTGAAGTAAGTTTATAGCGATCATGATTTGATTAGTTAACAAGTAAACCGCAAACCCTAATATGTCTATTGAACTTAGTATCTTTTCACATGATGCCAACGCTAAGGTTCACTGTCTCGACATCCCAGTAAACAATCATGCAAATCCACATACTAAGCAGAAGCGTCTTCAACTTCATCGACAACAAAAACCGAGCATGTAGAGAACTGGGCTAGCCAAACGTTGCATATACACACCTCGTTAGTGTTGTAATGAGTTATAAAACCGTCTGTCTCAAACATTCACAAAAGTAACGACTTCCTGGTTTCAGAGTTTAACCAAATTGTTCGTCATCTTATTGTTGAAGAAACTGGAATTTTTATTGCCTTGTGTAATAAATCACATATTTCCTCATGTATACTTGAGGGGACCTACTCATGGCTTATCCGAAGTCATCTTTAGCTTCCTCTGACCGCAAAAGTCCTAGTTTACACCTTGTTGGCAAGAATAGCTCTATTTTATTTTTAACAGTGGCAATCGTGCTGTGGTTTTCAGCCGTAGTTATTATGAGTGTAAAATGAACTCCCCTTTTGTCAATTTATTTTTCAGTTTATTACCCTTTACTTCATTTGTGTGGTTCATTTTCTGAGTTTTTTGTTGTAACAGTCTTCTGCTCTACATTAAATTAACAAATATTTGTAATAATTGTAGCATGATGCATCAAGACTGACTCAAACAGAAATCCGAAAAAATCCCGACATCGGAGTAGAAACTTCAAATAGGACTTCCCAGTCTTTATCACCGATTACTGAGTATCCAATTATAACAGGAAAATGTAGTTTAACTCGCCAAATATTTCAGTACTTCGAGCGATCTTACTACGTCCACCTTTTATAGAAGATCGTTCTTTCAGTGTCGTTTCGGCTTTAGCGATGGATGCAAAACTAGCTCATAGTAATTCCGCCGAACCCATGAATCTAGTTATGTGAAACGTACATTCAAAATTGACAAATTAACACTAATCTATAACTAACTTGTGTAGAGGTTTCGAGAACAAAACGTACACAACAGCAATTCCTTTTACTTCTAATTAGACCTATGCGTTTTCTACTTGCGAGAAGTCAAATTTAGCAAACATAGGAGACAACTCCTTATATTGTGACATTCGCTGGCACCAACTACTCAGCATGTCAGTGTCGTCTATACAACAGGAAGTGTCTAACAGAGCATGCCATTACTCATATTGTGTTGTTTTTACCTGTATCTTTGAATTGTAATAAGAGTTCATGATATGACATTCTTTACGTAGCTAAATACTAATTGCCTGGACCTTCATCCCCATCTACTAGTTAACTCAATTATCGGTCATTAATTGGCTGAAGTGTTGAATTTTTTGATAACTTTAGATCAATCCAACAGCAACACTCTATAGTTTGAGGCTTGGCCGTGCTAAAGGTGTAAAGACAATTTTAAATCCTGCACCTGGGCCAGTGGCTTCTGGAAATCCTGAGGAGTTGGGGAATTACGAATTAATGGAAGATATTTTGTCAAACTGTGATTTCGTATGTCCAAATGAGTCTGAATTTTGTTCTATAACTGCGTCCGATTCTGAATCCCTTTTTTCCAAAGATGAGATTGGCTCACTGAATATAGATGCTTTTATTCCTGGTCTTACCTGTTTGCTTAAAAAGAAGATCAAATACCCCATAGTAACTCTAGGAAGTAAAGGAGTTATTGCAATTTTATCTGAACAAGATATGGAAAATATATATGCCAAAGACGCTAGCGAAGTGGCTCGTATTACTTTTGATAACCAAAAGAAGTTGGTAGTGCACTTTTCAGCACCAAGTAAAATTGATGTAGTTGATACAACAGTAAGTTAACTGTTAGAATTATTCTTCAGTTTTTCACTAGAAATGACAGTTGGGGATGAGGCTTTTTATAAAATACCAACCTTAACAGCCGTTAACCATTATGTACATCAAAAACCCAAACTCATCCACATTAAGCACAGCCTACAAATTAATAACCACAAGTCGTTATGACTTTCATTGTTTGGATGCAAATCTTTTCTTAAAAACGCTTGACTATTCTATAGACAGTCGATGTACGTAGATTTCACCAGCGAGTAACTGAACACTACATTGAACCCGAATGTGGTGTTAAACGTGCTCTGACTTTCATTCCCAGACTCCCCAGGTAACGTACAGCCTGTAATTAAATAAGTATTTATATCTGGCTACACGACCCCCGAAACTTGTTATCATAACATTTTCCTCAAGTATATTGGCTATTGTGGTTTACAGACAAAAGTAGTACGTTTGAGCTATTCTCAGTCTACTGTCAAGTCTGCGATTCCTGAAATTAATATTGATCTATTAACAGTTTCAACAAACTTGCATATAAGTCGAAGTCTACAGCGAACACTAAAGCAATATCCCAAGATTGCTAAGTACTCATATTAAGCGCTTTTAGTAAGGTGTAGACAGACTTGAAGTAAAATTTTATATTTGCTGGGTATCGAATTTTGCGAAAATTTAACCAAATATCTTAAAAATTACTTGCCGAAAAGGAAAGCTCCAATCCTAGAAGCAATTTTCGAGTTTGATGGAATTAGAGTAAATTATTTTAGTATAAACGACCCAATGTTACTATTTGGATGAAAAATTCCAGTAACGTCCCAGTATGGGATTGCAAACAATCTAATACATTTATTTGGAATGATCGTCGATGGGGGACTTAATAATTTCTAACTAGCGGAGTAATCGCGTCACAAAATTCGACAAGACCGTGATGCTATCTAGCACGTTCTACAATTTTAAAGGGTGCATCGTCACTTGGACCCAAGTTCAGTATATTTCGTCTTACCACCTGGCGCGTAGTCATATTACTGATTTACCATACGTCTGAGTATGTCGCCCTTTATGAAAATGGGTCTTTGCATGTCTCTCCTCTTGAACAGCTTTTACCGACAGAAAAATAGGAGATTGTGCTATTAAGCTTGCTACAAACAATTGATCATGCCCTGAATATCGGTCGAAAGCAGATAACCAACCACTTTGTGACTTGAGAATCATTAACAACAAAAACATCGAAATGCACTATAAATCTCTTTCAACGCTATTACTTATTACTCAACAGAAAAAAGGGCGCCAAACTGTATTAATTTATATGATTATATAATCTCTTTTCGTAGGGAGCAGGAGACTGTTTTGTTGGCTCACTAGCTTACTTCGTCGCATGTCACGAGGACATTACTCTAGCTGAACAAATAAGACGATCGGTTTGGGTTGCCAGCCAGTCAATCCGTAAAAAAGGGACGCAATCTAGTTACCTGAAACGTGATGAACTTCCTGATACACTCTTTACATTAGAAACATTTCAGTGGCCATAGTAGCTAAAATCAATAACTTTTTTCCAATATTGTTTGTTTTTTAAAATACTTGGTATGTCCTATATCCCAACTTAAAGAAATATAAAAGATAATTTACACTGAAATAAGTATTATTCAGAATCACTATCACAACTGATTTTGCGCTTTTTCGACTGAGACACCTTGAGTTCTGAAAACAATGTAATAAGAGAACCATTAACAGAATTTTTAAGAAAACCATTAGGGTTAATTTTAATCTAACCATTACTGCTAGCAGAGAAACGCGGTGCTGAAAACAGTTTAACATACGTGCAGTAGATATTTCAGTCCTCAAACTTACATATGCCAACCAATATCTTCGCAATCAGCTGACAGTTACCCCAGTTAGTCACGTTTTCACAACCTTGACCGTTCACAATGAATATGTGGGATAAGATATTGTCAAGATGGTACCCAACTCAGTCAATGGTTCGATTGCGGAACATCTTGTAAGTTCTGGTCACGTTGCTCCACCAAAAATCTCTTTTAGGATCATTCACAGAGTCAAGTAGTATCACTATTCACACACTAAACTGGCTTTGTATTTAAACCTGTATAGGATTATCAATTTGTAATTACATTTCATAGAGCATACTGCCCACCTGCATATTCTCAGCTAGATATACGGCAGCCTGTTCAACATTATGTATATCTCAACCCAAACGATTTACGAGGTTGTGTTTATCGAAGATGTAACCCTGTGAACTAAATAGCAATCAAAATAACTATTGATGACGACACCAGTATATGGGAGCATAACGACTCGCCCCTTAAAGCATTTAAGTGTTTTTAATACAGACCGACGGGAATTTAATCAACATTGCACGATCAAAATAAGCTGGTCTGTCAATGTGATATGATCGTTGTGTAGATTTTCCTGTTAATTGCTAGGAGTTAATATTATTCTCAGTTAACACTTCTCTGCGTTATAAATTCCGATCTCATGTTTTCTTTGATGAGCAACCAATGCTGACAACCTCATCCTACGATATATTATTGCTTTCCTGAAATCGCTCCACAAATATTTCGGAGCTTTCAACACTCAAACCTTGTTGAATGCGATAAAAGCGTATTCTGTTTCTCCAGGATATGAATAAAAGATCTAATCCTGGTCATTCCCAAAAACCTTACCACGCTGATTTGGTGAACCAGTGATTCACTGTACACTGATCTAAAGACTTGTTGAGGGTTAATAAAAGAATCAATTCTCTTTTAAAACACGTTTATACTCCGACCATGTTTTGAGTATTTGCTAAACACAGGAGAGTTTAATCAAAAAGACGGAGCTCAATTTGAAAGTAAATGCCATGGACATGTTTGGACCAAACAATCCAACAGGTATATGCTCATCCTGGGGGAGCCTAGCGCGATTTGCAGTTCTCTGCAAAAGCTAGCAGTGTGATTTCTATGGAAACTAAAATAAATGGTCAAGAAGGACCAATGAATCTTCTACCAAATTAGTAAATCCTTGAGAACTTATTTCGAAAGGTTCCGAACATGAGAAGCGAAGGGGACTTTAATAAAAGTAGAAGGTTTACGAGATGATCAAGAGTAGTGATAGATAATAAAAACAAAGGAGATAGAGTAGCAGTGGTGACAGGTAAAAACAGACAACTCTCTACATTAGTTAAAAAGTTGGCTCTTAGTTAACCATGATCAATTTTCAAACAAGGTGATTGAAATACTTTGGAAAACAGTTTAACTGGCCTCTAGCTAATATTTCAGATCCCTACTACTTATCAATGGAATCTCAATTAAGTGTAAACGCCCATAACTAAATGAGAGCAGAGAATTAGATGGTCCTGATAGACCTAGTTCTTCCAAATGGTTGTTTTAAATTACTAACAGAACTAAGATACTAATCGGTTTGAGGGCTAGACAAACTTTTATCTGATCGGTTTTAAGAGTTGATGGTTCTATTCCATTGGGGAAGGACGGATGTCTTGTTACAGCTTTAAAAAGCAGTTCTGCGTTCCTGATCTTGTCAATTTCTTACTATTACCGTGCTAACATGAGGTGGTGTCTCAACTTGGATTGATATACAATTGTGTCAAGTTCTACGTAGACGACTGATTGAATAAATCTACATTAACTTCAGAGAAACCTGTTTGGAAATGTATCTTTTCGAAAAAAGTAAATTCAGTATTTATCAAGGTAAAAGTTAATACAAGACACATGGACAAGTTATGCGCTTTAAGCTTACTTCGACCAATAGTCTTCTTTTCACGTTTACGTTCAGCGAACCAGTCTACTCTCCTTTCCACACATGAGAGCGGTGCCGTTTCAGACTTCATACAAGTAACTAACTCCTCAGCCTTGGATAGTTGACTTTGAGCGGCCCTCAATTCTCGCTCCTCAGCTTCTGCAGCCAAGATTTTTCCAATTATAGGTTCCAAGCGAGTAATTTTGGACTGATAAGTAGCAATAACATCTAGAAAATATCCGTAGAAATTGCACAATTGAATTCCCGGAAGCATTTATAGATGAAAAACTAAAATCAATAAATTATGGATCTAGAACTTTCAAAACATATATAGGTATTCTCTTCAAGGTATATCCAAAACTACTATCTCCTAAAGTTGTGTTAGGACTACATATGAAACACTTGGGAGACAACTTTGTGTTGTATAATCCCTAATATTCTTATTTAACAATTATCAGAATGATGTAGACGTGTAAGCGCTAAACGTCACATTAGATCTTTCTATTATTCGTACATGTTTCGTGGCTTTTAAATTAAAGTAGTTGTATACATTACTTTTGATGGCACTCAGTAAGTCAAGAATGAGAAAAAACTAGTTAGTAATTGATAGTTTGAAGCTTACTTCGCAGGTTACAAAATGCATACTTCGTATAAGTGACTAGTTTCATCTTCCTTTCTAATGTGTTGTTTTAAGAACTACTAAGTGAGTTATCCATATAGTTATATTTATAAAAATCACAGCGACTGAACTTTAATACTTTGAGCGTTTAGCATGATAGCCTGAAATAAGTTTTTTCAAAAAAATATTAGAATGATTGATTTGATTTTGATTATAGGGTAAGGCTGGATTTAGATAAGCATTACCTAAACACCTTTATATACCACAATTCGAAGACATTCTCGAAAAAGTGCGTCACTTTATACTTTATGCTAAACTCAACACCTGTATGTGATTTGGCCCTTGATTAGCACACAACTGCCTTTATGATATTATTTTTATTTAGTAATTTTGACTATTTTCCACGAAACGGAACGGTAAAATTATGCTGATCGTCTTAGAAAGTTTTTCAGGCAACCAGGAAACGGAGTTAGATATAAAACAATTAAAAACAAAAAGCAATCGAATTGCAGTGAAATAATAGTCTTGATATGATTAATTAGCACTTACGTTTTGAATTATTCTTTATGGTAAAGGGAAAAGGTTTATTTTACACCTCAGGAACAGTTTAGTGCTGTGAGTTAGGGTTGTAACCTTATAGGGTTTTCGTTACTAACTGACATCAGTTGTGAGGTAAAAAGGTAAGGGTTATGTATAAGGAATAAAGCTAGAGTTGTGAATTAGGATTACGAGTTAGGCTTAGGGCTGTCACTGAGAACTGACATCGACCGTAAGTCAATAATCCTGTTTATAAACTTAGAAATAGAATGGAGAAACGTTTTCTAGCGACACGAACAACCTTGATTATACTTTAAATCACATCAAGTATTCTTACATAAACTGCACCATGATCAGGCATTTCTCGTAATTTACCTTGAGCACCGTCATATTCACTTAGGTTACACAGTGATTAGTCTTATCATCGATTCCGACCATTTTCGGACGGACATCGCGAACGTTCACTTAGTTTACATAAACAAACAAGTTATCACTCCCTGAACTTTAAATTCCGCGCAAATATACACTTTGTCTCTTAAATTTTATTTACTCGGTTCACAATTTGTGCGAAACCATTCACCCAAATTTTGATCACAACTTATAACAGTAAATTCTCCTAATCATGTATGATGATTAACAGACTGTAAACATGGTTATGAAAACTTCAGTCATGCGACCAAGTTACCCAGGTAATAATTTAGAGGCTGGATGTTTTAGTTTTTCTATTCATATTCATGCCGAAGCTTGTGCAACTTCTACTACTGAATGGAACTTTTATAACTACTAACTAAAACGAATGAAAATGTGGTCAGTCAGTCAATTATAAGCGACGTAGAACCTGGAACATATGTGCAAATATTTAAATTACCACACTACATAAGCACGGCGAGGTAAATTGTCAAAATGAATATCAAAGTAGCAGTGATAGTGAAATAACATTATGCATAGAGAATATGATTCCATAAGAACGAATGAATCCACAGAATAAAAGGTATGAAATAGTTTTCGAACACCGGACGATAAAAAAAAATGAACTCATCTAGACAATTGCGACTGATTCTGAGACATTATGTTAGTTAAAAATGTTTATTAATCATGAAACAGAGATTATTGAAACTAACCTGATGCTATAACTCGTGCTTTTACCGGATAAGGTGCTTGTTTCATTATTTCTTTCATCACTTTGCGATCATCCTCACCCACTAAAGACACTGCTCTTTAAATGAAATTATCAAGTGAAGTTAGTAAAAAATGACATAATATAATCGAAACAATTATAACTCGCAGAATTTAGAAATCTTGTACTATCTAGTAATAGTAATTAAGCTTAAAAGGAACATAATCTCGTATTCGTACAGAAACATTGCAACAAGTAAAGTGAACTAGACGCTTTTCACCTCATTCCTAATTCAGAATTGATCTTTAGTTTAGTACATTCTGTTACTTAGACGATTTGACTTACTCGCTTGATTTTTGTACGTAAGATGGTGAGTAACTTTCACACAACTTGTACACTCTAAATCGTCAATACAATCATGATCATAAGTTTTGTAAGGATCGAATAAGTCTTAAAATAACAAGAATTATCAAATTCGATGAGAGTTTGTTTATTCATTGAAAAGAAACGACAATGTCTATTGAAATAACTGAGTAACACGATATGAATTGTTGAGAGATAGGATTAAACTAAATGGGATATAGTTCGATAAAGCTCTAAACGTTTATAAGTAGATTTGATTTTTGTATTGGTATATCTTTTTTCAATTATTATCATATTGAGAATCAGTTATGATAGTTTACAAGTTTTGATGTAAAGAATAATTAACTGATATGAATGTTTACCTTTTGCCCCTAGTAAGAGTAAGCAAAGACTGATTGGATTGTTCAATTACTAGGATGACTAAACAATTACTCAAAAAGCTATAATACGTGCTATAAAAAATATATCGCTGAGCTATAAGAACATGGCTTTCTATTAATTATTAATTATAAACGTGCAAAAAGAAGATATATAGCTAAGTGATTTGCTTGTGTTTTACTTTAGTTGCTTATCCGTAAACAGAAACGTAGAAAAAACATTACAATTACTGGGAAAGCATGAGCCTATAAACAGGAACTCACCGACCAACATTCATAATTCTAGCGGTACGACCAACTCTGTGTACATACTGTTTCATAGTTTGAGGTAAAGTATAATTGATAACCTTAAGATTAAAAAACATCTTTGTTGTTAGGTTAATAGCAACACTAAACCTTTTATTATGGTATTTAACAAAACAATTATAAGAAGAAAGATTCTCCAAACGGTAATCAATTTGTGAATAATACATCAGAAATGATTCTTTAATCAGTGATATTTCTAAGTAGTGTTTCTGCTGATTCACTGAACAACTCAATTTGTAATTCGAGAATAACTCAAATGGACACCATGGGGACCATACACTTATTGATTTAAGTGTACCCAATCCACACTATAATCACATTATATATATATATATATATATATATATATATATATATATATATATATATACTTCATTAAATTTCTAGCTTTGATTTGATGGTAAATTTTTTTACCAAATATATTATTTTAATAGCAATAATGTACACATAGCCAGCAGGAAATTAGTGTACTACAAAAATGTATTCCTATGATTTTCATATAAGGAGATAAGAAACAAGAAATGAAACTGAGTATCTTTCTCATCATTAGAACTAAGATGTTTCGTTCTAAATTTGCTACAGCTAAAATTCTGATAGTAGATAAACATGAGTGACTACCGATTCACGTTTGCATAACTACATATATACCTCACACAAACCCAAAATAACAGTGATTATTGTGTAAGCCTACTAATTCTAAATACATACTATACATAGGTCAATTGTTAAGACAATCTATATCTACACGTAATCTGTTAATCATAGGAAACGTAGGACCTGGTACATGTGTATCGGCACACCATGAAACACTTTACATCGGAACAGAAAGGGGAGAATAACCGGTTGGAAACCAAAAAAAGAATGAGACTAATATATATTCCAGTCCAAAAATGACACCAATAAGTCGTTGATTTCACCAAGCATCAATGTAGTCCCAATTAATCTTTGAAGAAACTGAAGGCCAAAAATTGTCACCATTTATGTTTGAGAATCTGTAGTATTACACGCCTGAATGGATTATTCTAACTTTTAGACGGATAAACTGATCTAATCTTTCCAAGTAACTGTGTACACATATGTTTGGTCAAGTCGGTTAATTACGTATAACCTTGATCATGCTTTATGCATATGCGTATGCTAGCAGGTATGTATATGTACACTTTTATTTCTTCTGTGTTTGTAAATAATGAGTCGGACTTGATAAAATCGAGTTGTCTAAAAAACCTTCTTTAATGTTGCGCTTCTCACCGTCTTTCTGTGTAGATAATTGCCTGCAATAAACTCTTATAATTCAAACCGTATTTCGCTTTTATTATCATGGTTGTCCAACGGGGTTGGTCTAAGTATAATATGCGAAATCAGACAGACGATTGTTTTATGGTTCACTTATCGTCGTTTATTATGGAATCAGACTGCGGGCACTATAAATACAAAGTAATATGACGTATATTTAGTTTAGCTTTTTGCCCGAGTCTTACAAGTGCCAAGTTAATCAATTAAATTTCAAAAATGAAGCGCAGTGAGCATCCAATAAAGGATGTTTTTTACATATTCAAACAAATCTGAAGTAATTAGACGTGATCAAACGATGAAAATGTTTATAACGTTCACCAAAACGTGATTGACTAAAGGTTAGGTTGTTGGAAATAACATGGACATAGTGATTTTCAGCAAATAACAAACATTGGAGTTTACTCGTGGCAATATTATCATACGGAACACTAATTAGTCCATCACTTGAATATGGAGGGTGCTACAATGACGTAGCTCTTGATAAACAATCAATGGATTGGTTAAGCTGAAATGTTGGCGTTTCGTAAAACTTAGCAACTTTGCTGTTTACTTTAAACACACCAAAGTTATACACAGTATAACGATTGAGACAGCAAAGGCACAATTGAAACTTACTGTTTGTACATTGGGAATATCCAAACCTCTTGATGCTAAGTCAGTTGCCAAAAGAATATCAACAGGGCGTATGTCATGTTTATTCATTTCAGAAAGCTGATCAGTTGCGCTTTTATTTTTACATTCATCACTTGCACCAACATACGAGAAACGCTTCAAAGCCTCCAACCTCTGTGCTTGTGTCATATTGCCATGTAACTCAGTACATGAAAGACCAAGCAAACCTAACATAATATGCATTTTGTGACAATCCTTCTTAGTTGGTAAGAAAACTATGGTCCGTTTACGAAAATGACGCACCAGCAAGGCTACGACGATCGCTCGTCGATCATCCTCTCTATGTGGACGGATGCGAACAAATTCTTGATGTAAACATTGGGCTACAGCAGTTGCTTGATTGAGGAATATTTGTACTGGGTCGCGAAGCGAAAGTATAGCAAGTTCTTTAACCTGATCCAGAAAATAATGTCATAATATAAACTATCTACACAGTATTAAAATCACAAAAAGAATTATGTACATCAGAATAATTATATGCATGTAGAATTACATGGCCAATTGCATAAAGTTCCAGAAAATAAAATAAAAACCGGTTGATTTACACATATACCCGTAAAAAACAGCATTATACACATGATAGTAGAAAGCACAGTAAAACTACATAGTGACTATAACCATTTACTGAGTTAGAAATAAATATCGGAACCTATGTACGTCCACTAAATACATAGCCGTAAAGTAATACAAAGAGAACTGAGGTGCATTGTACTGGTCCTTTGATAGACAGACTGAATCCTCACCTGTGCCACATATTATGGAAGTTGATAAAATCCAAATGTACTTTCACAGCAATAGACTGAGTGCACTTAGCATTAATATTATTACCTCTACTACTCTGGGAAACCCTGACAATTTTATCTCGCTGTAATAATAGGATGTGGTAGCGTGAACCGATGTATACATGTGCCAGTTTCTACATTGATCTTTATTTACCAAGCTAAATAAAGGAAAGGCTAATTTTTCAGATCTGAAGTCGAAATTCATGGAAAAACAACCCAAATGTTACCACAAAAGTAATTTGACAACTTACACTTTCTGTCATTGTAGCAGAAAATAGCAAGGTCTGTCGTTTTGTGCTACAGAATTTAATAATTTCTCCTATTTGCTCTGCAAAGTATTCGTCTAAAAGCCTTACAAAAAAACAATGAATACGGTACTTACTTGTCAGCCTCATCCAATACAAGGTATTCGATGTGTTGTAAGTTAAAACTAGGAGCATTTGAGAGGTGGTCGATCAGACGTCCCGGTGTTGCAATTACTAAATCAGGATTCAATCTCAAGGAAGCCTCCTGTGAGTGTAAATCAAGTCCTCCTATTTATCCATAAATATATCTCACAATAGAGTAACTCACCAGCCGCTAACTGAATCCTGAGCTTTGGACAATATTTAACTAGTTTTTCGGCGACGTTGAAAATCTGCACAGCTAACTCCCTAGTCGGACTGATCACAAGGGCTCGAGTAACTGCATGGTTAAAATCAGTTGGCTTTTTTGCTAGTCTCTCCAAAATAGGCAGCAAAAACGCTAACGTCTTACCGGACCCTGTCCTGGCACAAGCACATATGTCATGGTGAAGTAAGGCAACAGGGATGCATGCGCACTGGATAGGAGTTGGTTTGTCTAAGGACATTTCAGTAAGTGACTAATGCTGAGAACAATTTATTCTGCACTTACTTTAAGTAATGGTTTAGCTAAACTGAGTTCTATAAATGACGACACCTGCTTGTATTTTGTAACAGCACGAGCAAAATTAAATTTTTCTGACTTTTAACAGATGGTAAACAAAGACATACGTTTACCTCATCCTTTTTCTTGCGAACACGATTACTTTTATCTCGAACGATGTCTATAATCTTTTAGTTAGAATGACGACACAATTACCTGTAAACTGAGTAGTGGAACTTTCATCTTCTAAAACTCCTGGTGGAATAGCATCGCTGCAAACTTCAACACTTTCGTCGGAGCATATGTCTTTGCGATAGGTCTCTATTAAGGTATCTACTAATCTATTAATTGATATATGGGGAAATGATAGATTTTGAGCATCCACAACTGGTGTGACATCCTAGAACACCATTTGGTTGACAAAAAATGAAAAGAACTTACAGGAGTATCGAATGAGAACTTTGGATTAAATATCATTTGAACAGAAATAGGATTTACAAAAGACTGATGTTGAAAGCCTGTAAAGATCAAAAACTCTACAGTACTGACTCAAAATTCAGAACCAATTGTAAATTATCATGTAAGATTCATATACTGGGTTTATAACAGAAATGATATGACAATAACTTAAGCTATTACTTGACAACATATATGGATGAACCGTTTTACTGTATTATATACTCAGCAAAGTGGTTGAATCAGGACTAAATGTGAAACTGAACAGAACTACCCCGTCAAACCAAAATACTGACTTCACAATTACTTGGTAGTGGCGATTTCAAGGATAACAGTCGGAAATTCCTAGCTAAACTGGCTAGTGATTTTATTCCGTTTACTGTTAGAGCTAATGAAGTGATTGCTGACGAAGTCTAAAAATAAACTAAAAAATGGCTTACCTGATACTTTAAAAACTGCAAAACATGAAACCGCGGTGTCCAATTATGGGTTAAAAGAGGAGCATTGTGTGCGTCAGTTGGACTTACGATATTATACGACCATACGAAAAAATCATTAGAAATGGAATATGACAAAACCGCGGATGATCACATTTGCATCATTAAGGTAGTGCTAGTGTTTATTTTTATTTATTTATTTTAACACATAGATATTAGTACAAGGAAGTACCAAATACATATGCGCCACACAAATCTCATTTGATTTGTGTGAGGGCTGTGATACTGCTCGGGTGCCCAAACCGAAGCAGATGGTCTTCTTAGGGGGTCACACCCGGAGCCTTCGACCTAAAGGTCTAATATACAAGGCAGTGGAGCAACGTCACGGTATGCAGTCTCACCGTAGCCGGTAACCAACGATTGGTTCATGTGCCATTTGTTCCCTTGGGATAGTGGAGCCCATGTGCACCAGTGGTTTGGAATCAGGGTTTTCCAAACCCCCCTAGATGGACTCTCCATGTCCACTAACCCGGTTAAAGCGCACGGACTATCCCCACTCTCAGTCATACCAGGGTATTTGGGGTGATTTTTCTAGTGTCCCGTCAAACTACTAGATGGACAATATGGGTGATAGACCTAGTCCAAAATAAGTACGCAAACTATTCAGAAACAGAATTTACGATGGCTAAAAACATAATATGGCATTCCAATACTAAGTGAGCTACCAATTTTTGCTTAACTTTTCCATTTAACTAACGGTTTCTTTTCTAACGCCAAATACCTTGGTATGGCAAATTCGCTATTTTTCACATGGTTGCACGTTTAGATTTTGTTTAGGGGAAGTCCAATTTAGTCATCGGTTCCTTGTGTTTAGGTACCCGAACAGTAATGATGTCCAATAATCAAGAGCCAGGTTATTATTACCCTAGACGTTAATGCTCAATTTTTAAGAGTCATACCTAATATATTATATATAATTTTCCTTTCAGTTTGATCTACTCTGTTTTCTTTTTCATGTAAAGTGAACAAATTTCGCTATATCAGGAAACATCTTTCGACCCTGCCCCTGAATGCCCTGGTACGGCCGAGAGAGGGATGAGTCCGCTCTCCCTCTCGAAATACTCTCACACGGCCGCGCGTATACAGCCTCTGCCAGGGAAGTCCTACTCATTGCATTCTCGTGGCGGGGGTGTTGTTTACGAAAATGAGAGGACGAAAAACGAATGTCCGGCGCTTTAACCGGATTCCAAACCAATGGTGCACATGGGCTCCAGTATCCTGCGGGAACAAATGGCGTATGGACCAATCGTTGGTCACCGGCTACTATGGGACTGCATCTCCTTACGATGCTCCACTGCCTTGTGGGTTAGACCTTTAGGTCAAAGGCTCGGGAAGTGGCCCCCTAAGATAACCACCTGCTTCGGTTTGGGCACCTGGGCAGTATCACAGCCAACACACAAACGATGAACTCTCTATATCTATGGAAACTACTTTTCTCGCTTCGAAAAACAATCAATTGATTCAAATAATTATCATTACTATTATTGTCATTATTAATACTATTATTATTACTATTATTGTCATTATTATTATTATTATTATTATTATTATTATTATTATTATTATTATTATTATTATTATTATTTTCCACATTATTCACCCTCTTTTATATTTATACAGCGGCTCGTCTTTGGTGGAAATCCGACCGTATCTAAACGTTCTCGAGTCACTGTCCAGTTGAAAATTGTATGTTACCACCGAATATGAGTACTGAAGCAGTTTTTCTGAAACCGCGTGCGCCATTCAAACTGGCTGCCTTCAACGTTTGCACACTTATGCAGGTTGGTCAACAGGTAGGGCTGGCTATGTCTTTGGAAAGTCTTCATATCGATGTCTGCTGTCTATCCGAGACCCGTATTCAAGACTCCGGCAAAGTACTACAAATTCGATCTCCATCTGTCACTTCAAAAAGCTTGTTCTATGTGGGCTTATCCGGAGACCCTGTGGCATCTTCGTCTAGTCTTGCTGGTGTTGGTGTCGCACGAAGCGCTAGAGCTGAGGCAGCACTAGTCGATTGGATCCCCATTAAGTCGGTTATGTACTGTTAGATTAGAAAGTTCCATCAAAGTGAGAAGAAATCGGCGTGAGAAACGATGTCTTTTCATCATCTCTGCCTATGTCCCGACAGATTGCAGCCCGGATGCAATCAAGGATGAGTTTTACCACCAGTTATCTGTTCTTCTCCAGAAAGTGCGTTCGACAGATATTGTAGTACTAGCCGGAGACTTGAATGCTCAGGCCGGGCGTCTAGGTACAGAAGAGAGTCGTTTAGGTGGCCGATGGGGACTCGTTGGTCGCAGGTCAGATAACGTGGACCGTCTACTGCAACTTTGCACAGACCACAACCTGTCTCTGGCTAGCACTAACTTTCGGCACAGTCATCGCCGATATGCTACCTGGCGTTCTCCCTCGGCATCCCAAGCCTGGACTCAGATTGATCACATCGCGATCAGCTACCGCTGGCGTGGTTGTGTACAAGACTTTCGCTTTTTTTGGAGTACCTATCTGGACTCTGACCATGTCTTGGTCTGCGCCAATCTTACCTTACTTTTCAGTGGACAACGAAGTGAGCGAAATCAACGGATTGATATTGGCAAGCTGATTGCAGCTTCTGTTGCAAGTAAGTATCGAATCGAGCTAGCTTCTAGGCTAGCTACCACTCCACCGAAAAGTATAGATGAGCATTGGTTACAATTGCATGACGCCATGAAAATGGCGGGTACAGTCAGTTGTGGATTTGCGAAACGTCCCGCTTATAAGCACTGAGTTTCTGCAGGTTCCTTACAACTCATTGAAGCCCGTCGGTCTACTCCGGGTGACCGTGAGTTTGACCATAAACGAAGGATGTTACGTAAGGAAATTGGGCAAAGCTTGCATAAGGACCGAGAAGCCTGGTGGTCGAAGCGTGCTACTGAGCTGGAAGCAGCAGCTGCATCTGGTAACTACCGGAAGCTCTTCCAACTCATCTGAGCGACTGGCAGCAAGAAGTCTGGTGTGAGTGAAACAATCTGCAAGGATGATGGGATGCCAATCACTAACATCTATCGACGTCTTGGACGATGGGCAGAATTTTTCAAAGGGCAGTTCAACTGGCCTGCTGCTAAGGCAACATCGGTCAGACTGTCCTGCTCTCCATGGCCGGTGACGACTGATCCACCAAATGAGGCAGAAGTCCTCAAGGAACTCCAACTCTTTAAGCGCTACGAATCACCTGGCTCAGATTGACTTATCTCCGGCTCTTTTTAAAGATGGTGGTGACTTTTTGACTAAGGAATTGACGACGCTGTTTACAAAGGTTTGGGAACTAGAGAGTGTACCAACGTCATGGAATGAGTCGATAGTTGTCCCTATCTTTAAAAAAGGTTCACGTCGTTCCTGCAACGACTATCGAACGATAAGTCTACTTCCGATTGCGTCCAAGCTATTGGCTTCCGTCATACTTCGTAGGTTGTTCAAAACCCGAGAAAGATTGACTCGCGAGGAGCAGGCTGGTTTTCGTTCTGGTCGAGGATGTATTGATCATATCTTCACCCTCCGCCAAATGTTAGAACAACGCCATACTTATCAAAGGCCAACAATCGTAGTGTTTCTTGACATCAGGCCTGCCTTCGATTCGTTGGATAGGACTTTTCTCTAGGATTGTCTATTGAAGAAGGGTGTGCCTGAGAAGTTTATTAACATTCTAAAAGCCCTATATAAAAACACCTCAGGTAGAGTGAGGGCATACAACCACCTCTCTCCATTGTTCCATTCGAGCAGTGGGGTTAGGCAGGGTTGCCAAATCTCACCATTCCTCTTCAACTTTGCCATCGATGACATTCTGGAAACAGCTCTGATGGATGTAAGTAATGGCGGTGTAGATCTGTTGCCTGGAGAAAGACTCCTCGACCTTGAGTATGCGGACGATATTGTCTTACTGTACGATAATGCTCAAGGCATGCAATCCGCACTTAATCGGTTGGCAATCAGTGTCCGTAGGTATGGTATGTGCTTTGCACCTTCGAAGTGCAAAGTACTTCTACAAGACTGACAGGATTCCAATCCTGTACTCACCCTGGATGGTGAGCAGATAGACGTAGTCGAGAAGTTCGCGTATCTGGGTAGCTGCATAAGTGCTGGTGAGGGTGTGAGTGATGAGATCAATGCATGAATAGTGAAAGCCAGAGCGACTTATGCCAATCTGGGCCACCTTTGGCGCCTTCGTGATGTTAGTCTGGCTGTAAAATGTCGGATCTACAACGCGTTGGTGAGAGCAGTTTTGCTCTATGCTTGTGAAACTTGGCCTCTCCGAGTTGAGGATGTTAGACGACTCTCTGTGTTCGATCATCGCTGTCTCCGAAGGATTGCTGACATTCAGTGGCAACACCATGTCAGTAATGCAGAGGTTCGGCATCGTGTGTTAGGGCACAGAGATGATAATTCAATTGGTGTCACCATCTTGAAACACCGACTTCGGTGGCTTGGACATGTTCTCCGAATGTCGTCCCAGAGAATTTCACGTCGTGCATTATTTGCCGACTCTGGGACTGGTTGGAGGAAGCGGAGAGGTGGCCAGTGCATGAAATGGTGTCGTGGTATGAAAGAAGGCTGAAAAGGACTGGCTTCTGTCGGTCCTTCACGACTCCCTGGTTGGGGTCCGAGAGATGGTGCTACACAGTGGCTACAGACGTTATCAGATATGGCTCAGAATAGAAGCCAGTGGCGATCCTGCTGTAACTTTCTTTTACTTTCTTCATAAGAAGTGGTTGTGTCTCCCATACCTGAAAGATTTCTTCCGATTGTACCTTCGCGTTCCCTGATTACTAGCACATTACCTTACACCAATCTCTTCGTTATTGTTCTCTCTTTTTTGTGCTCCTTAGCTTTTTTTTCTTTTTCTTTCTATTCCTCTTCGAATTTTCATTGTTTTGTGTAGCGCATATATATTGGATTTAGAGTAATCGATTAGGATCATACACTACCGCGAACTTGGTTATACTGGCAGAAATAATTTTATACAAGCACCGAGAAGCGGTGATTTTATGGCTGATAATACTTAGCATCAGTCACTGGTTGAGGGTCAAACCACACTTTAGGAACATTAAAACGCATTTCCTAGGATAGCGTAATGAAATCACAGTAAGTAACCGAATTATATTCACTAGACGCACCAAAGAGATAAAAATATCCTCATACCAGATTTTAAAGTTTTGTGCCTTTCCCCAAAATAGTGAGATAAGAATGTTTATCTGCTTCATATCATGGACCTTAGCTACAGAACTGCCAAGCAATAGTTTCCGTAGATTGCACCTTACGAGTCTCCATCACCACACTATATTTAAGTATGATGCATATCATATGAAGTACATAACTTGAACCAAACAATTAAGTTCAGATTTAGTTTTATCAGCTTTTCCAATCTGCTGATTCTGGAAGAACTTTTTCAATTAAGGGAAAGCTCCAAATAAAAGCTTTGGAGAGCTGAGATTAAGAAACCACAAAAATTTCCGTCGTCTGAGGAACACTAGAAATTTTTTGATGACATTAAGGAAATGTCCAAATTTAGACATTAATGTCAAAAACTAGGTTATAAGAATTATCTCAAAAGAAATATAGAACAAAAGTACAATGCTACACTTATAAAAATTATATTAAAATCCCAAATCACCCAAGTGTAATATGAGCTATTACGAAAATCTAGAGAAAACTGAATTACTACCCAAGCTTCCAACTTTGGGGAAACCCCCAACGTTTGGGGAAATTTTGGGGGTTTTGTGCCATTTCCCCAAAATGGGTCAAATTTTCCCCGACATTGGGAGCTTGGGTAACCCAATTATAATTGGGTTCCGGAAAATTGAGGCCTATTAAGATGCACTTTAGAGACCCAAGGTTTTTATGCCACTTAAAAAGACCAATATGCCATATAAGAAATAATATAAGAGAAAATAACTTATGGATCATTACTTGAGGAACGAACCAGACCTATGTGCCGGTAGCACGCAAAGCGGATTGCCGCTGTTCAAGAAACAATAACTTGATCTGGGAAAAGATAAGTATATATATTCACTATACGTACCACTTCTCTTGGAGATTGTTCACAAAGGTCAGTGCCAAGATGCTGAAGATCTATAAAATTGTTATTTTATTTTGCTACATAATTGCAAATAGTATTTTCATAAACGTCATAACTAAAAGATTTTATAATTAGTTCAATAGCATTCGCTCTGTTACCTGGTAGTCCATGAAAAAATAACTTGAGAAGTTAGTTTAAGGAGTCGTATTTCACAGAGTGACGTTCTGTGCATCAAGTAAACTGAATCAAACCATTTAATTCATGTTTCATAACACATGCCAACTCACTTTAGAGTGTCCAGAAGAGAAACTACCAATTTGATAGCAGAACTTTGCAACATCTCCTACAAAGAGCAAGCAAAAAACGCAGATCTCACCAGAAATAAAAATAACAGTATGCTAATTTCAATATAGAGTTGTGCAGATTGTTGAATTTTTATCGAGATCATGAAGCCATCAAAAGTGGTCGAACGTTGATAATTCATGTCAGTACTCTGTATCCTGAATAGTGGCACCACTGTTGGAATTTCATTACATTCTGTTACCTCAATAACTAAATATCAATGCAGCCGACATAAAACATCCAAAAGAATGACTGAGAGAAATTGGGGAGACAATTTTTGTGGCGTTTGTACGATCTAATGATTTCTTTGTACTTGATGATTGCGTGATTTCGAATTCAAAATACAATACTGTAATGATGTTAAAGTCATCATGTTTAATGTTGTTAATAGATTTTGTTTTCTTACTATTGCAGGGCAACCAAGAATAAATGCTTTAGAAGAAGAAGAGCAAGCCCTGCATGCTTTAAACTTACAGGATGACTCATAAGACCGTTTTGTAAACTTGCTCTCCTTTCTGTACATAACCCGCGAGTTTTAATCTTCAAATAAACGACTGGTGGTCTCCATTCCGTGTTCTCTCTGTGGTGTGAAGTGCTCAGTTAACATTGTGCGTGTGGCTTCAGGTCTCCCCTCTCCAGGGACTGCTGATTACACGTGTTACAATGCATTCGTTTGTACTCACTTGGTTCTATTTGACTTTTTCGAGTTATTTAGGGAATTCCTAGTTATCATAATGATTCCAATACGTTTAATCGTCACATTAGCGTCGTGATAAAGCCTGTGATAGAAAAGTTGGACATTGGAGTTCTGATGGTCTTGAGGATTATATGGAAAGGTTCGAAATCTGGGCGATGACCAAGGAAGATGTTGACAGTGTGAATATTGAGGGCCCATTTCCTTAATAAAACATTTACAAAAAGCGTATTTCTCTTTCCTACGGAACTCTCAACGAACTATTACTTGACCACGTAAAGTGTACTAATTTCGACTGATGTAAAGGATGAGATTTCCATAAATTGATTCGTCAGGACATGTAGGATTCCTGTAAATGACTACGTCATCCCGATGCAGTGCTTACTTAAGGTTATCCAGGTAACATCATTGGGGAGTTGATAAGTTGGTCACGAAGATGAGTTCCGGTTGAATAAGAGTTTGTCATTTTGAATTCCACTCATATAATCCATGCGTATTTCGAAATCCTAAATGCCTTAAATGGGGTAAAATTTAACACATTCGGGTAGCTTATAAAGCTACTGTTCATTCCCTTGCAAGTGATGCTAAACTTTTCATTTCCGATCTAGTTAGGTTGAATGTTTCCAATGAACTATATTCTGATCAGATTCATGATATTATTTTGCCAGTTATGCGTCAGATGTGTGGAATAAGTCCCAGATGAATTAAAATCTGATTGCAGTCCTTACGGTGTTACATCAGATGTTATTTGTCATCACAATGGATTTATCTTTAGTGATATCCCTAGTGAATGTGACAAATATGTTCCGGATGTGTCAAATTCTAGTCACATCTCTGACGTCATTGTATCGGATGTTGGATATTCTCACAACCAATGTATGACGAACAGAACCGCTAATCAGTTATCTGATGAATTAGAGGGAATAAAACGTTTTCTCGAAGCAGTCAGAGAACCAGTTTATCTAGACATTAAGCTTGAACAGGCACAAAAATCTAATCGCGTTCAAGATTATCCCAAAGAGTCTGAGGCAAATGCATATTTTCCATTTGATTGTTTTGCGGGTGACTCAAGCCCAAATGAATCACGTGTATTAACTGGCTAGTGATTTTATTCCGTTTACTGTTAGAGCTAATGAAGTGATTGCTGACGAAGTCTAAAAATAAACTAAAAAATGGCTTACCTGATACTTTAAAAACTGCAAAACATGAAACCGCGGTGTCCAATTATGGGTTAAAAGAGGAGCATTGTGTGCGTCAGTTGGACTTACGATATTATACGACCATACGAAAAAATCATTAGAAATGGAATATGACAAAACCGCGGATGATCACATTTGCATCATTAAGGTAGTGCTAGTGTTTATTTTTATTTATTTATTTTAACACATAGATATTAGTACAAGGAAGTACCAAATACATATGCGCCACACAAATCTCATTTGATTTGTGTGAGGGCTGTGATACTGCTCGGGTGCCCAAACCGAAGCAGATGGTCTTCTTAGGGGGTCACACCCGGAGCCTTCGACCTAAAGGTCTAATATACAAGGCAGTGGAGCAACGTCACGGTATGCAGTCTCACCGTAGCCGGTAACCAACGATTGGTTCATGTGCCATTTGTTCCCTTGGGATAGTGGAGCCCATGTGCACCAGTGGTTTGGAATCAGGGTTTTCCAAACCCCCCTAGATGGACTCTCCATGTCCACTAACCCGGTTAAAGCGCACGGACTATCCCCACTCTCAGTCATACCAGGGTATTTGGGGTGATTTTTCTAGTGTCCCGTCAAACTACTAGATGGACAATATGGGTGATAGACCTAGTCCAAAATAAGTACGCAAACTATTCAGAAACAGAATTTACGATGGCTAAAAACATAATATGGCATTCCAATACTAAGTGAGCTACCAATTTTTGCTTAACTTTTCCATTTAACTAACGGTTTCTTTTCTAACGCCAAATACCTTGGTATGGCAAATTCGCTATTTTTCACATGGTTGCACGTTTAGATTTTGTTTAGGGGAAGTCCAATTTAGTCATCGGTTCCTTGTGTTTAGGTACCCGAACAGTAATGATGTCCAATAATCAAGAGCCAGGTTATTATTACCCTAGACGTTAATGCTCAATTTTTAAGAGTCATACCTAATATATTATATATAATTTTCCTTTCAGTTTGATCTACTCTGTTTTCTTTTTCATGTAAAGTGAACAAATTTCGCTATATCAGGAAACATCTTTCGACCCTGCCCCTGAATGCCCTGGTACGGCCGAGAGAGGGATGAGTCCGCTCTCCCTCTCGAAATACTCTCACACGGCCGCGCGTATACAGCCTCTGCCAGGGAAGTCCTACTCATTGCATTCTCGTGGCGGGGGTGTTGTTTACGAAAATGAGAGGACGAAAAACGAATGTCCGGCGCTTTAACCGGATTCCAAACCAATGGTGCACATGGGCTCCAGTATCCTGCGGGAACAAATGGCGTATGGACCAATCGTTGGTCACCGGCTACTATGGGACTGCATCTCCTTACGATGCTCCACTGCCTTGTGGGTTAGACCTTTAGGTCAAAGGCTCGGGAAGTGGCCCCCTAAGATAACCACCTGCTTCGGTTTGGGCACCTGGGCAGTATCACAGCCAACACACAAACGATGAACTCTCTATATCTATGGAAACTACTTTTCTCGCTTCGAAAAACAATCAATTGATTCAAATAATTATCATTACTATTATTGTCATTATTAATACTATTATTATTACTATTATTGTCATTATTATTATTATTATTATTATTATTATTATTATTTTCCACATTATTCACCCTCTTTTATATTTATACAGCGGCTCGTCTTTGGTGGAAATCCGACCGTATCTAAACGTTCTCGAGTCACTGTCCAGTTGAAAATTGTATGTTACCACCGAATATGAGTACTGAAGCAGTTTTTCTGAAACCGCGTGCGCCATTCAAACTGGCTGCCTTCAACGTTTGCACACTTATGCAGGTTGGTCAACAGGTAGGGCTGGCTATGTCTTTGGAAAGTCTTCATATCGATGTCTGCTGTCTATCCGAGACCCGTATTCAAGACTCCGGCAAAGTACTACAAATTCGATCTCCATCTGTCACTTCAAAAAGCTTGTTCTATGTGGGCTTATCCGGAGACCCTGTGGCATCTTCGTCTAGTCTTGCTGGTGTTGGTGTCGCACGAAGCGCTAGAGCTGAGGCAGCACTAGTCGATTGGATCCCCATTAAGTCGGTTATGTACTGTTAGATTAGAAAGTTCCATCAAAGTGAGAAGAAATCGGCGTGAGAAACGATGTCTTTTCATCATCTCTGCCTATGTCCCGACAGATTGCAGCCCGGATGCAATCAAGGATGAGTTTTACCACCAGTTATCTGTTCTTCTCCAGAAAGTGCGTTCGACAGATATTGTAGTACTAGCCGGAGACTTGAATGCTCAGGCCGGGCGTCTAGGTACAGAAGAGAGTCGTTTAGGTGGCCGATGGGGACTCGTTGGTCGCAGGTCAGATAACGTGGACCGTCTACTGCAACTTTGCACAGACCACAACCTGTCTCTGGCTAGCACTAACTTTCGGCACAGTCATCGCCGATATGCTACCTGGCGTTCTCCCTCGGCATCCCAAGCCTGGACTCAGATTGATCACATCGCGATCAGCTACCGCTGGCGTGGTTGTGTACAAGACTTTCGCTTTTTTTGGAGTACCTATCTGGACTCTGACCATGTCTTGGTCTGCGCCAATCTTACCTTACTTTTCAGTGGACAACGAAGTGAGCGAAATCAACGGATTGATATTGGCAAGCTGATTGCAGCTTCTGTTGCAAGTAAGTATCGAATCGAGCTAGCTTCTAGGCTAGCTACCACTCCACCGAAAAGTATAGATGAGCATTGGTTACAATT